CTTCTTAAGCCAACCGAAGCTTCTTACACAAAAAAACTCCTATAAAATTTTAAACTATAACAAAGTACAAATACGTTTTCTTAATAAATCAAAAATTGTTTACTAAATTTCGAATATTTTCAATTGAAAAATGAGTAACAGCAATTTACTTTTTCGTAAAAAATTATTTGAATAATTTAGACTAAAGAAGCACATTAACTTTATAAATTGAATTAAAAAAGCAATATTGTTATTGTTTCATGGGGAGTAACAAAGAATAATTTAGTAATAACAAAGATTGTGTTACTGCTAAATGTTTAGTATTGTTAAAATGAAACTAGAATTATGAGCTTTCAAAATTTTTGATCTATTATTGCTTTAAATCATTAATTCTAAAACATTTACTTTTGTAATAAATAACCAATATTTTAAAATATCACACAATTCCTATGAATTACTGCAAAATTTATTGAACAACATTATTTCTTGCGATTCTTTCAATTGTTTCAAGATTGAGAATTTCAAAAATATAAAACAGCTCTCATACTATATGAAAAAATAGCAAAATAAATGCCATATAATTACGTTCGTCTTATATGCCAAAACAAAATAAATTAAGAAAAACAATAAAAAACATCAAAAAGATTATATACTAAAGATTTTGTCTTAAATATGAAATTTCCATAATTAAAGACTTGATGACGATAAACTCAACTGTATAATGCGTCCTTTTCGGTTCTGTTTGTGTTAATAATTATTTTTAAGTTTAATTTATTTAAAATTCTTTTTATAAATGGTATTACCGCTTGTAACGCCAGTAAATTTAAACGTTAAGAAGCAATGAAGTGAGATACAAACATATAAGTGTATGTTTTTCGTCAGCGTCGAATTGTGACTCAATTTTGCCATATCGGACATCTGTCCGTTTGTCCTTCTGTTCGTCTGTCCGTCCGTTCCAACGATAACTCACAAACTCATTGAGCTAAGCTCACAAAATTTTCACAAATGATTTATAGTAGTAAACGCCTATTTAATTTGGACAACTTCAAAAATTATTTAACTACATCTTAGATATTATTGAACCTATGTAATATCGAAATTTGGCACCAGCAAATATATTGTTGAGGCTTTTTGGTATTTTATAATTGTTGCCAAAATCGTCATAAGTTGTTCCTAAATATGAGTAAAACTAAAACAAAGCCTTAATTGTTATATACTTTTTGGCAAAGGTTAAGAATTTTAGTTTTGAAAGAATGTTTATGCAATATCTAATAAATATAGTTGTTTACGCAATAAAAGATATTGAAAAAATTTGCAAACAAATGATTTCGCGTCTGTAAACGTCATTTTAATGATAAACTTATCATAAATAAAAAAAAAAATTTCCAATCAACAAACTTTTTATATTTAAAACTCTATATTATGAACAGGGTGATTGAACAACAATTTAGGAGCCATATACCACTGCACGGAAGTTTAAAGCCAAAAGTTTTAAGTATATTAAAATTTCGCCAAATATGTTCTTAAAATTCTTGTAGCTGCGAAATGGTTCCGATTTAGCACAATCTTCTGAAAAAAAATTTTACTCATTTTCGACATTCTATCAAATGGTATATGGCCTCTAATTTGCTGAATCACCCTGTATACATACATACAAACTTTTATGTATTATTTGCAAATATTTTTTATTTTGAGTACTTAGGATTTTTTTTATATTTACTTTTATTATACATATGTAAAATTACATAGTAGAGGCGAGAGGGTATATAGGGTTTGATGAGCACTTAGAGAATATTTATGGTGCAAAAAAATTAGTTGCAATTTAAAAAGGAAATTATTAGGTGTACGAAAGTTCACATTTAGTACACCTTCACCGGGCGTCGTTCTTAATATCCTAATATCTATTCTGATATTTCTTAGAATATCATAACCTGCAAGACAAAAAAATTTACAAAAGATAGTTTTTCATACATATTTTTTTAAATTATATAATCTTTATATCAGTACTGGTCCACCTTAAATATTAAATTTACACATATAAAGTCAATACGGGGATGTAGTTTTAAAAGACAGGCGCGCCATTTCCTCATCGATCATTTGGAGTCTTTCACGCTTCTTAGACTTCATTTCCGCAAATGTTGAAAAACCCTGCTCACAGAAAGAAAAAATTAATAATAATTAGAAATCAATCCAAAAATTTCAAAAATTCTTTCTTACATAAAGTTAAAAATGAATATTAGATTTTTTATTAAAATATTCACAACTTAGAGTTAGCTGGAACAACGCCTTAAAAAATCTTAAATTTTTAACAAAAACAAAAATAATATCAAGGAATTTGATTAATAGAAAATTGCTAGTTTCCATAATTAAGTTTAAAATTTAATTTTTTTTTTTGCTACGGATTCTTATGACAAATTACAAAAGTTATTTAAGAAGTTATTTAAGAACTCAAATTAACAAGTCTTAGAAAATAATTAATTCATTTAATTAAATTGTTCAAAATTTAGAAATTGGTTAATTTAAAATACTCTCTATTTTTGTGTTTTTTTTTTCTTTTTGTCATCGTCATTAATTAAAATCATCTTAGATAGTACGGTCATAGCAAAATTTAAGCGAATTACCATATCTCATGAGAAAATATCAAGAACAAAGCCTGATTTATACTTGCAAAATAACTAAACCATATAAAAAGATAAAAATCTTCTCAAAGTCATTTTTTAATTTAAAGTAAAAGCGACTATTTAATTAGCGATTATTTTGGTAATCAATTAAATTTTGTCTCGCGATAATATATGAACTTGTTGTCATCAATCTCATCCATTTTTAATAATTAAACACAATAGATGGCGGTATATACTCGTATATGGAGTGGGCAGTAAAAGAATTTTAGTTAAATTAAAGACATTTCAGATACTTTAATGGCTTTGATTCATTATTAAAATTAAGTTTCTTATTTATTGGTTTCAAATGTATATAATATTAATTTTGAATAATTTTGAATTGGAATAAATTTTTTTACATTTTGAAAATATAAGATTAATAATATCAATAAGGCTTTCATATTATAGTTGCATTTTTTTAATTAAATTTTGATTGTTTAATATTTTGCTTAGCAATTTTTATAACACATTAAGGGAAACTAATATAATTAATAGACCTGCAAAAGAAGTGAAATATACTTTTTCTATGTAGAAATAAACTTCTATCTAATTAAAATATAGTATACCAAAAAGGTTCTACTTACTGCAAAATATAACCGATATCTAACTATCACTTGAAATTTGAAATTTTCAGAAATTTGAATGTTATAACATCCACGTTCAGAATACTTTTCATACTCATACGAACGTATCTTCGAATTATATTATAAATTTAATAATAGTCTAAAATATAGACATAAGTGTATGTTTTTGATTAACATCGAATTCTGAATCGATTTAATTATGTCTGTCCGGGTGTCTGTCCTTCCGTATCAGCGACAACTTAAAAACTAATTGATTTAAGTTCACCAAAATTTGACAAATATTTGACAATAGTAGATGCCGAAATCCCATTTAAATTAGACGTGATCGAGGCAAATTGCTCAATAGCTTCCCAACAGCTTTAATAGTTATTTGGCATTTATCTCAGAAAATATTAAAGCTATAATATAGATATTTCATGCAACAAATATATTATTCGAGTCGTTGACAAAACTAGTTGAATACAACTTTTCATTCGTACGGGTACACACAGAATTGACAAAGTTAACTCTACCTATATTGTCGTTGAATATCAAATACATCTAATAAAAGTTGCGCTTTTTATTAATTTTTTTAATTTAACTGTAATGAATGTGAACATCATCTATTGCTTTAATGTTCATTAACATTACATAGACATTTATTCTACAGGTTCAAATCTAAAAATCACGTAGAAATTTTTTAATGCATGTACATTTATAAAAAATTTAAAAATACTACAATTGAATTATTATTCATTTTACGTATTCATAAAGGTTGATTATTTATGTAAATCTGTAAACTATATCAACTCAATGTATAGAAAAATCATTTCAAGTACGTGTATAAAGTCTATAAAATGTATAATTTTTTTGAACAATATAATTAACTCCAATGCTTTTTAGGAAACTTCATTAATCATAATTGCATAATTATATAAATGCAGTTATTTGCATTTGAATATTTCCGGTCAAAAAAAAGGTATATCTTATGACGACATAAGGCAATTTTGTATATATGATTTATCAAATATTTTTCAAATTTAAATGCAAGAATGATTAAATCATTGTTATATTAGTTGAGGTGACGCAACAATAAATTATAAGAGATACAAATTATGAATTAAGGTAAAAGGACAATCGAGCACAAACTAATCCAAATTTGAGGTTTTCATATTAAAGCGTATTTTGTTTTTTAGTCCATAAATGTGCCTATATCTGTATATTTTTCCATTACGTGTTTTTTAAAACATTGCGATAGGGTAACTTACCATTTTTCAGGTATATGAAATTAAAAGCGATAGTAGGAAATCAATTTAAATTAAAAGCTCTTTTATAATTCACGAAAATATGGATGTCACTTTGTCAATCATTGATTTGATCCGAGTTTATTTTTTTCCCAAGTACCATTATAAATTAGCAGAATTTTGAAGATATCGTAGGTCGGAAAATCTATTTTAGATTACATTAAAAAAAAATCAATTTTATCAGATTTATTAATTTAGAATATATGAACTTGAAAGTTTCAAATCTATTTTCGGAAGAACCACAAATCACATATTAAACTGAAATCGAAAATATATTTTTTTCTTTGTTAATTTTTATAGGTATACTGTTTTTTTTTTTCTGCTTCACTTTTGATCCTGATTGCAATTGTCCGAATTGATTTAAATTTTTCTGGCTGATAAATGTGAATACGAAATATTCAAATAGTTTAATATCATAATGCAACAAAGCGATTAAGAAGTTTCTTGTTATAACTACGAATATAGAAATGCGGGAAACAAACAAACGGGACATATTCGTGTTTTAAGTTTTTTTTTTATTTTCACCAATTTTTTTTAACAGACATTTTAATTTCGAAGTCATTCCAATACGTTAATATGTGTACTTTACATAAGCGAGAAAATTTTGAATTCCCAATTACAAAAAAAAAAAAAAATAATTTTTTTTTTTAATTTTCATAAATCTTAAATATTTAAACTTAACATAAGAATAAAACTATTTGGTTACATAATATTGAACTATATATATATATATGTATATATCTTCTAAAACGCAGTACTCTCAAAAACTAATATACATAAACAATACATGTACATTTTTTCATTTTCTTTTTAAATTTTAACTTGAACTATAACAAAATGAAAATTAAATTACATAATATTATTATAACAAATTATAATAATATATGAGTATTCTTAATTAAAATTATAATTAAATTATTAAAATTTATTTTATATTTATTAAAATTCTTCAATAATCAAAAAATTTCTCCAGGTTTTTCTCCAGACAATTGCATTTGTATTTGAGCAGAACTTCTTCCTTTCGTTTCAAATACAACAATTGATACAAAAACTGTACCTAATGCCATCATAGCACCAAATGTCCAAAATGTAAAATCGGAACCAAATGATGAAATCATTTTATCAAAACATTTTGTTACAATAAATACTGATGTCCAATTAAACATTACAATTAATGATGATGCAGTTCCTTTTGCAGATGGTAAAAATAATTCACCCATCATTAGCCATGGTATTGGACCATAACCAATTGAAAATGTTACAATAAACATAACAACACATAAAAGTGGTAACCAACCAATTGATGAAACATCTTTTCCATTATCTTTCATTTGAAAATATGCACCAAGTATAGCTAAACATATACACATAATTGTACTACTAAAAAGTAATAACATTTTTCGGCCAGCTCTTTCAATTAATAATGATGAAACAAATGTCATTAAAACTTGTACGATACCAACAATTATACTACAAACATCAGCATCTAATGTACTTCCAGCTGATTTAAAAATTGGTACTGTATAAAAGATGACAGCATTGATACCAGAAAATTGTTGAAAAAACATAAGTGCAAAACCAATAATTAATGCTTTTCTACTTGCTATATTTGTAAATAGATCAGTAAGTGAAGCTTCTCCTGCTGATGAATCCAAATCACTTTGTATAGCTTGAATAGCTGAAAAGTTATATAATATATTAACAAATATTTGCATAACAGTAAATAAATAAAATTCTATATAGATTCGGTTATTCCATAAATTCTTTCATAATTTTCAATCAGGAGATTAGTTAGAAAAAAAATGTATTAAGTGTTCTTAGAAATTCTTCGGAGTGCCTAATTTTACGTCAAACAATTGGAAATTTCTTAAAAGTTTAAAAGATAGATATTTTTTAAAAAATACGTTTCAGTAAAGTAAAATGCGCATGAAATAGTTGTAATTTGTATCATTGTTATAATTATTATCGTAAGTATTCATTTATAAAGAAATTCCATTCACGGTACATTTTCGTGTCGATGAATAATAATGTTTACCCTCTGATTGATATCATACTTTATCATATCTAAACTTCACGCTGCAGCAATTTTATTTATCGAAAGCTCAAAAATAAACAAATGCTTATTCAATTAATGCTAAGGAAGTGGCTGTTTTCTTTTAGTAAAAGAAAAAAAAACAATTCTAATATTTAATTAAGAAGCAATTTTTCTTTACCGGCATAAACATATTTCAAGGTTTGCAAGAAAGGCAGGTGAAATAACATTTCAAAATTTTTTAGTATTTACATATATATTTTACTTAATTGTCAAATGCCAGATTTTTAATAGTTTCTTTATCCAAATTTTTTTTAATGTGTTTGCAAAAATAAATTTGTTTCAACCTATTGGAAGGAAGCGTATTTCAATAATAGTATAATAATTGCATTCTTTTGGGCTGAACACAACAATTAAAAGATTCATTAACAAATACATTACCTAATTTGATGCTAATAAGGTCAGTCAAGAAAAGTGACTGCATTTTTAATAGTAAAACATTTTATTTTTATAAAAATTTGGAAAAGCTTACAGCTTCGGAGAAATTCGGAACTCAAAATTTAAATTTTGTTTGTGGAAGCAAAAACTTGGAAAAAATTTCTCCTATCGAAATGAATCATACTAAATATACGATTGTCAATGTCTAGAACTTATCACCACATATAACTTCTGCAACTTACGATAAACTAAACGAAAAATTATACTAATTATTTAAACGAAAAAAAGGCGAGGTTTATACCCATGTATTAAACTTATTAAAGATGACAAAGGCTTAAAGTGTAATACCATACATATGATTTTACCTGATCGTGAGTCACAATAATGTCCCCATAACCATTTCAAAGATAAAGCAGCGTCACCACGTCGTCCCTAAAATAAATGAAAAAAAATTTTATTCAATCAGTCTGTAAATTATATACAAAAATATCATACCTTTTTCAATAAGTATGTCGGTGTTTCAGGTAAAAAAAACATGCTTACAAATAATGCGAGTGGAATAAATAAGCATAATGTACTAAGAGTTTTCCATGTAACAAAACTACCAAATAAATAAACTAATAATATTCCAATAGTAAGAAATAATTGGAAAAATGTTCCAAGTGAACCACGTATACTTGTTTCAGCAATTTCTGATATGTACATTGGGGCAATTACACAATAACTTCCGGTTGCAAGACCTAAAACAATTAAAATTTTTAATATAATTTTTCATTAAGAAAAAATTGATTTAATTACCAATTAAAAATCGTCCAAAATAAAGAGCTCCTGGTCCGCTAGCAAATATAATACTAATCCACGCTACAATAAATGGTATATCCATTACAAGAGCAGTATATTTTCGACCAATTAAATCAGCCACAAAACCACTTGGAACGGCACCACAAAAAGCTCCAATAGCTAATAGGGAACTGACCCAAGATCCTATAATAAAATAATATAATTTCGTGATTTATTTCCAAGTTTAAAATAAGTAAAAGGCAAGTTTTCTTTATTATTGCTCATCTGATTCTTATGAACTTTGCAACATAATTGAACTCTTTATTAAAGAGTGAATTAATTTTGAGGAAATAATTTTGAGAAAATATGAAATTAATTAAATTAAATAATTAACAAGATAGGGATGGGGGCTGTTTTAATTAATATTTATTTAATACCGCGGGTAATTAGGAAGATATAATTTCGGAGGAATAAAATAAAATTTGAATCCTTTGTAATTAATCTCCTACTTAAAGCTATTTGGTAAGTTAAAATAATATTATTTTTCTCTATAATGTAAATATTTCTCTTTTATTTAATTATAATGTATATTTACACATACATTATAATCAATTATAATGGAAAATTTAATACTAATGCACTGTTGGTGCACATTATCACAGTCATGTTCTATTTTTTTCAATTTCTTACATTGGAGTCAAAGAGATATTCCTTTCTTTTTTTTTTTGTATAAACCCATTTTTATAAATAAAGGATAGTCTTTCAACATTTTGCAAGATTTATGATAAATTTGTTTTTCAGAAAATTAAAAAAATTTATAAACATAGAAACAGTGGAGTTCAAGTATTTTTAATCGAAAAACAAAATTTCGAAGTCGTATAAGAAAATTTTTTATATAGGAATTAAATTTATTTTAACGGAATTATTATTAACCATAATTGCAACCATATAACTGCAACTAATGTCAGTTCATTTTTAGGAATAAACTTTTTGTTTTCAATTTGAACTTGTACTGAAAACCAAAACTTAAATTTTTAATTAAGAATTTCCTTTTGGAACGTCTTTTTTATTCCTTAAGAAGTCAACATAATCAAACAGGCTCGACCAAAATTTCAGAAAATAAAAATCCACTAGCATTGCCAATCTATAAACTACAGTTTTGCAAGATTTTATATTTAGAAAATTAATATGACCCCCCATATATAATAATGTATTTTATTTAAAATTGTTTAGCTGCACCCAAAGAATTGTGAAAACATAATATCCATATTATAAATGTAAATTTTATATATGTATGCAAGCGCATATAGTATACACATACATACATTTAAGAAATCATTTTAAACTAGTTGAATTCGCTTTTAAATAATCGCAACAGGTTTTTTATTTAATCTTTATTTATAAACAATTTAATCCTTTTAGAGCAGTCAATTACGTTTTAGCTACTGGGTAATTATTAAATAAAGATATACCAATTTAAGTGTTATTGCACATTTAATTTTCTCTCACTTTGAAAATTTTAATTAGGTCATTTTTATAATATATTGTAGAGGCAAAAATGGTTTGCAATTAATTATTTCGAATAATTTCATCATTCTCAAATTGTCTTAAACTCAGTTTCAATATTCAGTAGTATATTGTAGTTAAATTTAATAGTTTTTAGACAAGAATCGCTAATTAAACATAAATCTTTTAATTAATTAAAAATATATTTTATATAGTAAAATTTATATTCGAAAACATAATTTATATTGTACATTTTAAGCAATAAAATGTACAATATAAATTATGACAAATTTTTAGGCATTCTCAAGTACGTCTTTATAAGACATTTCTGGCTGAATGTATAATATTATGGGTCTATACTAAGGAGAACATCTATGATGTCTATGAGAAACTCTTGCGATTTTCGTATGGGACACATTTAATCTTCCTCTTAGAATACGATACATTGTCATCACAATTTCATATTCAGCCTAAATGATTCAACATCAAATTAAAAGTTATACTTTATAAAAATAAAACGAAATTTTTTGCAGACCGCATTGCATACAATAAGTTAAATTATATGATGACACCAAATTTCGCATATCGAGTTTTCGGTTGAAACGCACTTCTCTTAATTTCGGCTGAACCATATTTTTGACGAAAATTTATCGGATAATGAAACTGATTTACAAGAGTTGGTTTTAAATTTTTCTTAATTTTATAGGAAATTATTAGATTTCAAAAAATTAATTATCAGAAGCTAGACTTTTACTTTGGCCGAAATTTACATTTAGCCCGTATGCAGAAAAATAACCAACTAGTTTCTGAAATTTAATAGTTGAGTCTTATATGCTACCGAAACTAATTGAGGAATTTTCCAGAGAATTTGGATAACATAAATAAATTCTAGTAAGAGCCAAATTTAGCGTGCTTAAAATTTTAAAGAAGTAAGTTTCAAGAACATTTTCATAATATTGTAAAATGTATTCAAATGCCGAAAATGTACTGATCAAATCTGACTGCTAACTCAATAACAAATCAATATTGAATATAATTCTTAATTTAACTGTTGTTATATTAGATCTTTTAATATTCTACCAATAAAAATTTATAACTTATACTTTAGCTTTACTATTCTAATTCATAAAGTTTACTTTTATTACCCTGTATTTACTCGATTACACTTGATTATATTTAATGTAGAAATGTACACATTCCGATTTCAAATAAAAAGATCAAATTAATATATATATAATGTAAATTACAAATATCATATAAATAAATGAATGATTTTATTGTATTTATAGTGTAAATAAAGTTCACCCTATACTTATGACTACGACTACTTATATGGAAATTGAAATAATATTATCAATAAATCACAGTAAACAACGTTATAATACCAATAATAAAATAAAATTTTAAATAAAAAATTTTATTGGGTGCAGGTTTATATTTCAATAATTTTTATTATAGATGAGAATTTAAGAGATCATAGGTAGTAAATCAGGTATTTTGTTTATTTTAAAATAATAAAAATTAAATAATAGTTTATGTGGGAAATTGATTAACGCGTGGTGTATAGAATCCAAAACATATATGTAGTATATTTTCCATGTCCATCATAACAATAGTGAAAATTTCTCATTTCTTTCTTCACTCCTTGGAGCAGCATAGTTCTAGTGCATGATATCATAGATAGTCATGCCCCAATTTCATTGCGCCATAGAGTTTTAATTGACTAGGTTATAACTACCGTTTCCTTTATATTATACATTCCGAGACCCTTCGGTTAAAGGACCTGTGCCGCAATTATGGCACCAAAGGTCAGATTTTAAAAGAAACTCGTAATACCAAATTTGCTTGCCATAGTTATATGAAACAAAGTTTAAATCAACATTACTAATTTAAGTTTCTTAATTATTTAACAAATAAAAATATTTAATTCTTTATAATAACTTCATAAATTTGGAAAAGAAATTGTTTTTCTTACGTTCATTTCCATCTAAATATAATCCTGTTGAATTAGTTAATTCTTTATATTTTTCTATAGCTTCTGGTGTTTCTATAGTTTCATTAATTGCACTTAAATCAATTGTTAATTGTGGTAAAACTGGTGATGTCCAAGCTAAAGCTGTACCAGCTGAAACTGCTCCAAGACAAACTGTAATAATTTACAAATGTTTTTATTGCATAAAATTGTTCCTAATGTCATTTGTTTTTTTTATATTCAAAAATAATATTTTTGTACCTACGATCGCAGCAACATATTGCATTGTTTTTGATGTTCTAGTTTGTCCTTCTTGTAATGGATCATACAGCATAGGATTTCTTGCTGATGGATCATTATCTTCTTGACTGACAGTCTATATATAAACATAAAATAAGAAATTTAAAAGTTTTATTAATCTGTTATTATTAATATTTTATGTAAAAGAAGATGAAATTTTTCATATAAGCATTATTGATTTTAATATTATATTATGATTCCAAATTTATACATTAAATGTAAAGTTATTGTAAAAAAAAGTGCTTATTAGTTTCACTCTATACGTCTCTAAGTATCATCTCTCACTCTATTAAACGTGTGAGATGATACTTAAAATTTTTACTCTAGAGTCTAGATAAATAATGTATTCATTGAGATCTACTTGTAAAGTGTACAAAATTTAAATTTTCTCTTTCGTAATTTTCTAGACAGACAGATTGAAGACAAAGAGATTGAAACTAATGAATTAATTTTTTGAAAATTGACTAAAAATATTTCTTAATTAAACTGGTGGTGGTTACTTAATTGAATTGATTTTTCCATCATTTGGAATAAAATACAAAAATTTTATATGTACACTTATCATGTGTGATTTTACATGAAGAAAGTTTATTTTTAATTTGTCAATAAAATTTCCAAAAATAAATTTAATTTCCGCATTTTAACTTTTGTTTTCAACACGCGAATCCCTTTTTCTTTTTGGAGTTATTTTTACTTTGGTTACATCAGAAAACTATACATTAAGCATCACATTATTGTTTTTTTTATCTTGTTGTTAATCAATTGATTTTGACGAGTTTTTTCGCACGACCACTTTATACATGTATATTCCTTTATACATGTATACATATACGTATGTGATTGTGTAATGAAATTATATTTTTACCATAACCGTACACACACTTAATAATAAATTGTACAAATAATAAATTTCGGTCAAACCAATAGTATGTAAAGTAGCACTTTTCCCTTTAATAAGTAAAAATACTGGTATTTGAAAGATTGCATACGTTTAGGATAAGGCAAAAGAAATAAATTGAAAGAGTCGTTACCAAAATGCTCGAATACAAAAAAATGATAGCATATCATTTGCTATTTATATAAATTTACATAAATTTGTAGTTTCGGAAATTTAAGGTGCCGAAATTTCGAATTTTACAAATTTAATTAGGTGATAACTTGACAGGGGGAGAAGTGGTAAAAATGACTTTTTCTGACGAAATAAATTATAAATTTGAAAATTATAAAAAAATTATATTTTTCAAATTTATTTCAATTTATTTGTTTATTAACAATTTATCAATTTATTCAACATTTTATCAATTTATTCAATTTATTCGTTTAATTTATAACGGGTTTTAAATGAGGGTTAATTTTAGTAGCCATTTGGTCTTTTCAATATTCAATTGTATTGTACCATGGTTTACAGAAGGCAGAATATAGTTAAAAAAATTTCTCCTATTGAAATAAATTTCTATAGTAAAGATGTATGAAATTTAAGCTTTCTATCCGCAAGGGTGTAGACGTTTTGCCATGTCCACGAATGGACTAATGGACAGACGGGCAGAGAGAAACTAATAAACACTTTTTTTTTAATGTTTTTAAAGCCCTTTTTTTTTAAAAGTACTTAAAACAAGAACTGGAAGATTATTAATTTATTATGTATACATAAATAATTTATAATAAAAATGTTTATTTTGCAATTAACATTGTAATTAATATCAATATTAAATTGTTAACAAAATTCAATGATTAATATTAGATAATATACTTAAGCATATTAAAAAAAAATGCTCCCAAAAAAAAATTCATATACTTATATACAATTACATATTTAATTAAAATTCTGAAATGAGAACGTTTTCAGTGAAAAGGGGGGGATGGAGTGGTGGTGGTGATTAAAAACTGTTCAAACACGTTGAAGTACAATTTATTAATTCATAAAAAACCAATTTATTATAATTAAATTTTTAAAATAAACTCAATCTAAGATACGTATGTATTTTGGGCACAATAAATCCATCTCTTAAGTTGCGGTGCATTGTTACTCCATGTCTAATCTGGTGTATTATGTATGTTTATTAAATTATATAATTTCTCCAATTTTAAGTTTGTTTTTGAAATGGTCAAATTTTCAAAAACCTATATAGATTTTCGCGTATAATAAAATTTATCCATAAATCGATAACAATTCAGAGGATATTATTGATGCCGTATGTTAGTATAAAATATACAACTTCATTTTTATCATAATCGCATTTTCTTTTACGTAATAATGATTAATGTCCTTCAAATGACGCCTCAGGTATTTACCGCAGTCAAATCCAAAATAATTGATTTTTTTCCTTACATATTTTTTTTTTTTTAAAAAGAAAAGTCAATACCAAAGTTAAAAATAAATATTTTTTTTTGTTTTTGTTTTTTCGTTTTTAAAATAAATTTTAAAATTAGATGAAATTCAAATTGAAAGAAGCAATTTTAAAAAAATCGTATAAAATATTATTTATTGTTGTCGGCTATTAAATAATTTAAATAATGAAATATGTGAAAAATAAGAATCTCATGAGCACACACAATTCGTTTGCAATGTTGCAAAATTGAATCAGACCTCCTTCAATGAACTACAACTTATTTTTCTAAGTAAATTGAAGTTTCCAGGATATATGATGAAAACGTTGAAGCTGGAGCAGATCCAGAATTAGTATAATGATAATTTTTCATTCTTCAACATTAGATCCATTGATTTTACTTATACTACCATAAAAAATCATCATTGATTTTTAGAATTTTAATAAATAGAGGTTTATTGACTTTATTTGTTACAAACTATAAAAAAAAAATTTAGAATTAATTAAAAAATTTTGTAAAACAAAATTTTATAAATTATGAAAAACACTATAAAATTTAATTTTTCTTATTACAATATTTACACCGCCGAACTAAAAAAAGCAAACAAATTATTAAAAAAAAAAAAAAAATTTTTCTTATATTATATAGGTAAATACTAATAAAGGTATATAAGTACAAACATACATATTTGTATTGAAATCAATTGAAATTCTATACAAATATATTCTGGACTACCGCAATGATTGTAATTTATTGTAAACAACTGACCTATACGAAATAAATAAATACTATTGTGATAGTATAGCCGTACAATAGTATTTATTAATTAAAAGGTAAACAGTATTTTTATCTACTATCAAATAGTAATTGATATAGTATAATGTTATTGCAATCAAAGTTGCAATAACATTAGAGTTGATTATTCAATAATTTTACGAAGCAAATTTTCTAATTCCAATGTTTTAAATATTGGAATAAATTTTTGGAGTAAGTTTTTATGAAATTTATCTATATGTAAGATTTTTTTAATGTTGCTCTTCTTTTTATATTACGAGTATAATGAATAACTCTACAATCATTTTGCATAATTTTTGGAGTTTATTTATTTTGAAGTTAAAATGGTAATTTTCCATACACATAAGTATATACATATATATATATATATATATATATATATATACATAAGTATATATGTATATATGTATATGTTTTTGTGTGTAATGTAAATTATCCAACATTTCTTTATTTAATAAAATGTGGTTACCTTCCTTTATAATTATTTTTTATAATAACTTGTTTTATTTCTTTTTTTTACACTGGCCAAATATTTGGCACATTTATTAATAATAGAACAAGTACTTAACCTTTTAATGTTCATTGCTAAACAAGTTTGAATGTCACTTAAAAAAAAATGTATGTGCAACTACATGTATATATGTGTATATATATATTTTTTTTTAATTATCCGATAAGCAAAAAATTGTATACGCATCCAATACTTAAATTATATTATTTAAATAAAAAAATAATAGTATTGATGTAGTAGAGTGAAAAACTACTATATAAAATTTTAATTAATGTACTAATAAAAATCACGTTTTATTAAATGTTTATTTAAATAAACATTTATTATTATTCTATATATAATATATATTTATTTCAAAACATAATGTAAATAAATTTAAGTGGTACCCTTTAATATCAATTAAAATTTTATTTTATCGGGATTATTGATTATACGATAAAAATTATAAAAAGTTATACAATTTAATTTAAAGTATATATTTTACATAATTATATGAAAAGAAATTGAAAATTAGTAAAATAAATGGTAATATTAATAGGGAATTTTATTAAAATTAAAAAAAAATAAATTTATAAGTATATGTGAATAAAATAAATATGTAGGATTATTTTATGTATAAGTACAGAGTTTTTTCATAAATAAATTCAGGTCAATTAAAATGATTAAAAAAAGAGCATTTAACCATATAATAAAATACCATCTTATTGCATATTTTCAGGATGTGCACGAAGAAATTAGTTTACGATTCCTAATTAGTTTCTTAATTTTATGAAAATATAATTTGAAAATAGAGAAAAGCAAAAACAATAATTATTGTATATAATATTTTTGCAAAATATACGACCTTTATACAATATTTATTATGGCCTACACAAAATATTAAGTAAATTTTAAGAAATAATATTTTTCAAAATATTAAGTAAAAATAGTAAATTTTAATGTCCAAATTTATTTGAGGAAAAACGAGAATTTGGAACGACCTAGAATCTAATCTTCGTCATTTTTAATTTAAATTAAATTAAATCTAAAGTGCCTAGAATTATAAGAATAATAAGAAATATTTTCTTAATTTTCAAAAGTTTTTTGGAAATTATGGATTTGGTGAATCATCAATAAATCCATTTTGAAAATTCTTTTTAATTAAAATTCATTATTTTTGTTTTTTTTTTTAGAATAAATTCAAAATTGTTTTAGGAAGAATCTCACAAAATTGAAGAAGTAAAAATCTGTTGCATAAATTAAAATATACAATATAACAGTTACTTTATATAATTTGTAGCAAGCGTTATTTAAAATGAATTAGATATAAATTGTGTATAAACTCTTGCAGTATAAATTTGCCAGTGGTACGTCAACGATACGTCAACGGTACGTCAATGATATTGTATTTTACAGAAGACGTACATTTTAATTACTTTTTACATTTTAATACATTCCACACATTACATGTATTTACATATTATGTATGTTATAACATTTTCTTGTATTGAAAACACATTGTATATATTTATATACATATATGTGTGCGTTTATTCGAGTATCTACATTTATTCGAGTAATTATGCTATACGAACATTGTTTTATGAAAATTTGGCACATTAATGAAAAAACTTTGAATGAAAAAATTTTAAAAAATTACAAAGAACAATAAAACATCTAAAATAAACGCCATAAAAAATGTATATATACATAATAGTGCTTTTATCAAAATATGTATATGTAAATACGCTTGTATATGTAAAATACGACACGTATGAAATATTTTCACAAAACTTTAAAATTAAATTTTCATATACCTTGTTATACATAGATACTCGTATTATGTATGTATATATAGGGTGCCTCGTTTACAAGTACGTGATTTTATACAGGTCCTCATGAGTAAACAAAGTTTTGTATCGAAACGTTGTCCACAGCTAAACAGATTCGAAGTTACAGGGGCTTAAAATAAATTTAGACTAATTTTTTACTTTTTAAAATTTTAAGTGTAACTATGTATTGTAGTATAATGTAAATACGTATAACGTGCCTATGTAAGTCAGGCGCATTATAGAATAGGATTTAGAACCCTCAGAATAAGGGCTTTCTTATGAATGTCTACACTATTTATAATCTGTTCAAATTTCGGAAGTACATGACTTTAAAGTTGGAAAAATTTTAAATTTTAATTTTTCATTTTTAAAAAATGTTCATTTTCTATATTGTCATTCGAGTTTTCTCCAATTTTAGCACAGCTGATAACCCTTACCACAGAGCTTCAATTTGGTATATGAGTTATCATACTACCTGATCTGATTTAGGAGTTATTGAAAAAAGAACAGTATTGCAAATGTTACTATATTCGCCTATCTTTCACGGGTAAAGAGTTATAACTGAAATTTCCAAACCAAACCAAGTTCTGTAACTCCAAACCTGTTGAGCTGTGAACATTCGTCTCCATACTAAAGTTTTGTCTACTCATGAGCGCTTATATGCGATAGTAAATAGCAGTGCACTTTGATACGACACACCCTGTATAATATACTTTTATATATGTAAGCATATATATGTTTGACCACATGAATATATGTATAATTTTCATTAACTCTTTAAAAGCAAAATTTTCTTTTATTTAAAATTTCATCTTATATTTTTCTTTTAAATTGATGCGTGACAATTTAGTTATGTACGAGCGTTTAACAAAAAAAAAACAAATATATTCTATAGTAAGGGTAGACATACCTGCCACCAGCGGGCCATTGCTGATACAACTTTATCAGTATCCATTTTTAATTAAAATTATAAATTTTTTTCTTTAATATATAAGAAAAAAATAAAATTTTTTTCTTTATAAAAATTGCAAGAAAATTTTTGCCAAATAATAAAATAAAACCAAAATTTTTGCAATTATATTTTTAAGTATATTATATATAGGAACTTATGTAATTTCTGTTATAATAATTAATATTTTATTCATATAAAATAAAATATTTATATATACAAATCGTTGATGTTCATAATTGTTATATGGATGTATAATATTATTTTACATAAATATTTTATTTATAATAATATTAATGTATGCGCATTATATTATAATAATTTGAAAATATATTTTTGTTTATTATTTTATGTAATATTTTTGTTAATTGTTTTTAATATCACAGTTGAAAAATTATTAATAATATTTCTTGTTTATTGTTATTTTTAAAATACACAAAAATTAAGTAACAATTTGACTATATTTGAGTTATTAATCGCAATTTGTCGTTTTAAAAATATTTAATAATTTTCATAAATAATATTTTTGTTTATTTTATATATATAGTACGCAATATATAATTTTTAATATTTATTTTCTTTAATTTATTTGATTTGTTTTATTAATTGTAAAAATTTTAATTTATCGCTTTAATTTTTAATGAAAATTAATCGAAAATTAAAAATTTTTATTTATTTTTTTTTGTTTTGTTTTTGGAAAATGTTTTAATTTTATTATTTTTTTTTTCTTAGAAACCGTATAGATCTTTTTCCGTTAATAAAATTTCTCAAACTGCAAAGAGCATCCAAAATTTAAGAAAATTTTCTTCTTTCTATATAATATGAAAAAAAAATTCACAATATAAGAAAACAATTTTTAATGTCAATTGCTTTACATTGAAATAATATTGTTATATTTTTATATTTTTGTTTTTTTTTTTTGTTTATTTTTTGTTATTTATATAAAAATATACTTAATTGTATATATTATTTATTTATATATATATATATATATATTGTATATTTATTAACAAAACAAAATAATATATTCATTTCATATATTTAAAAATATATTTTATTATATATTATATCCCAATAAGCAATTTTGTGTCTTATTATGATAAAAATAAAAGTACTGATAATGTATCGCACGTATGTTTAACTAACAAAACTAATAACGGAAATTTTTTAATATGATTTTGTATGATATTTGAATCAAAAGAAGATTTTGTAAGAAAAATTTCAATTCGATTCAGTTGAAATTTTAAATGTTCCGTTCTAATTAAGTCAATAAAAATAAAATTAAGTCAATTAAAATAAAATTCAATTTGTCGAAAAATTTGAAAAATTACAAAGGTAGTTCGACTAAAACGAATTACACTGTATTGGTTAAACCTCATATAAGAAATTCCTCAAAGAAAATGTTTTTTTTTAATAATTTAACAAATTAAACTTATACAAAAAATTTAAATATTTTACATAATCTTAATATGCAATACTGCCTATTAATTTCTTCATATGCAAAATTCAAATTGTTCATATGCGATATCATAAACTTGAGGATATTTAATAAATTTAATAAAGTTTGAATAAACTTATCGAGTTTAAATGCAATTAAAATCATCCAACGAAAAACCGATTCCGTATCCAAGAAATAAACCTTTTCAAATTGAATCAAAACTTCAAATTATCAAGCACGTTTTCGAACACTTGAATATTGTCACATTAACAGCCGGATCGTGTATCTCACTTTTTTATTCACTTTTTATTCACTTTCAAATAAGAATTATCAGTATTTTCTAATGGAGATTTTACTTTTCCAATAAGATTACTAATTTTTTTAATTGGATTTTTACATTTTTTTTCAAATTATGGACTGAACGCCTCACTTTCAAAAATAAAATGAATAAATTTTAGTATGCACTTAAGAAAAAACGAGATACGCAATACCAAATAATTATTCTCACTCGAAAATTACATTATACAAGTATATGATAGTTAATCACTTTCTTCTCACTTTGCGAGTAAAACAATGAGATTGACGATCAAGTCACAAAACATATTGTCACATTCATTGGCTTCGCATCCATCATATAATAATTAAAGTAATAAAGATAAAACATTGAAGGGGTGACACTGTAACAATTGGTACAGTTGCAGAAAAAACAAAAAATTGTTTGCTGGGATCAAAGCAAATATTATAAATTACATTTACGTATATTGATTATATACATGTATATATGTAATATGTTCATTTTATCGTAAATAAATTTAATATTTGTTAATTGAAAAACAAAATATAAAATAAAACTAAAAAAAAAAAGAACTCTCAAAGAGAATTCAGGATCAACGATATTATAATATGTATATATACACGAAAAACAAATTATATATGTATGTATATATATATTATTTACATAAAAACGTACAATTAAGTTATAGATACTAATAAATTAGTAACTAAGTTTTTAATTGATATAATTGTAATAAACCAAAACAAAATAGTTACGTTTGATTATTGCAAATTTCAATTTTTTTTTTTATCTAGATTATTATTTATAATTTGTCCTATGTACTAAATTAAAAGCATATTATTATGTTTGTAAATAATATAATAATTGAGTAATATTGAAGAACAATTTATTATTTAATTAAAAATATATTACAATTATTTTTGAGTAAATTTTTATACATTTTAATTATAATTCAAGTTATATAATATACAGAACTATATTTCGAACTCAGTAATCCATATTATAACAATATTTTTTGTTCATAATGTCATAATAAATTCATAAATTGATAAATTTTCACCAATAAAAATTTCCTTCAATAATTTCCAAAATTATAATAATTTGCTTTAATTTTAGAGCTTTTAATACCATAATGTGTTCGATACAGTATTTCAATTCTATCCGGAAATGCATGATCACAAAACGAATTCAGCAAATTATTTTTAAGCTGAATTAAATTTAATAATACGGTTTATTAAAATACTGTTAAAACTTAACTACAATTTGGAACCTATATGTGAATATTTAAAAAAATTAAATGTTGATCTTCCTTTATTACTATACTAGAATTTCTGAAATAATTTTAAGTATAGCATGCACATAAGTGTAGGTAAAAACATAATATGTATTTAAAAATTTTGAAGTAAATAAGAAATAATTAATTTAAATTTTAGAAAACTTCGCATTCAATTAGTTTTGATCTGAATTTAGGAATTAAAAAAAACAGTACTAGTAGCTAATAATCAAAAATTTAAATAAAAACTAAACAAAAATTAATTTATTGCCAAAAATAATCAAAGAAAATTACAAAATAATGAATAATAAATATATTGGCTATATATGTAAAGAATTTTTGAAACAGAATGATTCATTACTGACGTATACAAGAATTTCTTAAATATTTTATTTACAATTATGTATGTACTCGTATGTATATACTATTAACCACTATTTTTATAATAATGGCATAATATTGACAATTTGTGGCGCCTTGAGTTCAAAAAATTTGAACTCAGTTAGGTATATGTATAGCGTTTTTTAAACACTTCAAAGATTTTGTGATATTTTGATTGAATTTTTTCGCTAAATGATTTTGATTTAAAAACAATTCGAAATATGTAATTTTTTTTAATTATTTTAGAATATAAACATTAGGCAATAACGTACGTAATGTTGTAATAATGATATTCATGATACAGGCAGTTTTGTAGTTCACCTCTATATTAGACAATTATTATTTAAAGTCACATACAAAATTATTGTCCCTAAAAATGTGGTATAATGTGATTTTATTAAATTAGAGAACATTACTAAATCCATGAATCACACTTTTTTTTTAATTTTTAGGAAAAAAACTGATCGTATGGGTGTATACATATACCCTTTGCCTGTACATAACTTCATAAATTTAAATGTATTCGAAAAATTCGTACAATTTAAGTGAGTTATTTGAACAATTAATGAACATAGTAATATTTTATCAGTAAATTACAGTTGAGTCACAATGAAAGTAATTTCAAAGGGCCAAAATTTTTGTTGCACACATTATGAAAGTTTCTTTTTAATATTAAAAATCATTTTTCGACTAGTTGCTAATCATTCAAGCACTGATTAAATTCATGTTTGCAGTTCTAGCAAAGGTCTGCAATGGCAGCATGTTTTTGTAGTTTGCTGCAAGAAACATACCGTTTTTGCTAGTACAAAAATTTCAAAATATTTTCTGTCAACGAAATGTTTTTCTGCTTTTATATTCAAAACCTCAATTAGTAGAACACTTTATAATTTAGATTAAACCAGAGTTCTATAGTTGTTATCACTACTTTAGTAGTTCTATTGCACTCCAGTTTTAACTAATAGGATCCCACGCAGTCAGAATTGAAAACGCGAATTCAATCAATGTTTGAATGTAAGTTAGTTGAAAAATATTTTTTAATTATGCCATCGACTGTCAATTCAGTTTTAAGTGCGCATATACTGAAAAATTACGTAAAAGTATGTATTTAAAAAAAGAATCGCATTTTGTGCATAATTATCTATATACGTCTTTTAAAGATAAATGGACAATAGCGCGTACATAATTTATGCATATGTAAATAATAAAGAAAGAATCAGCCATAGTTCAAAATTACAAATGTGTAAACAAATATACGTATGTAAATAAAGTTCAACTTGAACTCATAATTTATTGAATAAAAAATTGTAACAGAAAAAAATTTATTCCCAAGGTTGAAAGTCTTATATTTAAACGTTTTACATTAGTACACATGTATGTATAAAATGTTCATGTACATACTCACTTATTTGTAAATTAATAAAAGACATAATATCTTTATTGATTTTTATTAATATGTTTCTTATTTCATTGATGCAATTAAATCGTTTTCAATATATAATTGAATAAAAAAAAATTGAAATATAAATAAATTCGCATTGATTGCCAATATTATTTGATCTTTAAAACTTTAATTTGTAATTAAAAATTGTAGTGAATTTTAACTTTTAATTCTAGTACAAGTATATATGTACTTTTAGATAAAACCAAAGAAAAACGACCTGATGTGATCATCACATAGTCGCCCGAATCGCTAAGGTGTTGCAGAAAATTATGAAATCTTTTTTTTAACATTATTATTTCAAAATCTACGAAAGATAAAAAGTGGGATTGAGTTAATCCATCTAGAAAAATGTAAATTTGTTTCTTAGTAGTGTTTTATTTTCCGTAATTCGATTTCATTGCAAAGTTTTCCATTAACAACCAGAGCAAAGTTATTTTAATTAAAAAAAACAAAATCAAATATTAAATTTTAATAACCTGATTTCTTCAAAAAATTAGCGAGCTTGTTGTATTGTCAGGAAAATCGACTTATTACTTTCTTAAAAATGATCAAAAACATAAAATTAGCCTGTTCCAAAGACCTAACATATCCCAAAGCTATGTAAAAGATTAAATTGCCTCATCCAACAAACTAAATAGATACAAATTTTGATGAAAATT